CCGTCGCGGAGAGGAGGGGGAAAAAAGCAAAAGCTGTGGCTAAAGCATCCTCTCCCCTCCCCCCGGGAGCGCGGAGAAGGGATGGGGGAATATTTGGGATGACGAGAGGCTTCCGTGAGTCACCAGAAAAACCCAAGGCTTGGGTCTGGCCCCAGGGATGGCCCAGGAACAGCCGGATCGACACCCTTCCTCCACAGGCTGCTCCGAGGAGCCCGAGTACCGCAGCTGAAGGGAAAGAAAGAGTTCCTGCCCCAGGCTTTTCACAAATGCTTTATTTGTAGGCGAGAGAAACGGACACCAAACAAGACACGAACAGGATGAGGCTGACACAGGACATGGAGCGCGGTCTCCGGAGAACTGACACACACACACACACACACATTTTTCCTTTTGGAAACAGCAGCACGTGGTAAGAGGTCACCCCGCCAGACTGGTAAAGCTCGGCCTAAACCAGCCGAGCATCCAACAGCAAAGCTCAGAGCAAACACCCAAGCACTATCCCACAGGTGTCAGACGCCTTACGGACAAGGTGCCGAAGGTGCAGCGTTACCGGACGGATCAGGGCAGACGATACAGCCCAGGGAGGGCAGGTTGGGGCAACACAAACGGCAGTTTCAGGCTGTGAGCAGAGCGCCGGGCTCAGAGACGGGTGTTACCATGCACCAGGGCCAAGTTTTCTTGGAAACGTCAACCCATGAACTATTTATTTTGACCTTACCTGAAGATCTAAGGTCTAGATTTTCAGGAGGGTTGAGCACCAGTTCGAACCAGTGAACGGCTGATTGCCGGAAACCTCCGAGGATCACTCCTCCCAGCCCCTTCCACACCCAAGATAAAAGGCGACAGCAGAGGGGAGGAGAAACGGCAGTGCTAAAGTCGAGGAGGTGGAGAACATCAGCACGAAGCTGTTTGCTCTCTCCTGCTCCAGCACCTGCCGGGGGCTCCCCCGTTCACTGAAGACCCTGTTGAATGTGGCAGCACACCGAGAAAAGTTTTCGGAGTCCTGGGATGGTCTCACTGAACGAGAAGCCGGCAAGTGACTTTGCCCTATTGCAATCGCTCAGCCCTGCCCCGCAGAGAGAGGAAAAGCAAGGAGGTTCACTCTGAACTGCCCCGGCACGGTATTTACTGGGCTACTGGTGTTACCAACGGGATCTACCACACCATCACCACCTCTGAGAGCTCCCCGACCGCGAGCTCAGTTTAGAAGCCGCTCCGTGCTTTACTGTAGTGCTTATTTTTTTTCAGAGGGTGTCTCGGTTGCACAGAAGGTTGACCTCCAGGCGCAATAAGCATCGGTATTTTTAATTAGCTTTGCTATCACCTCCCACTCACTTCACATCTGGACCAGGGCAGGCTGAAGACAAAAAAGACAAGGCTCAAAAAAACCCCAAGTGAGCTCCGTGCAGCAACGCGGTTCGGCAACCATTTCAACACCAGGCGTCTGCGTCTGCAGGTATCGATCAGCCCGGTCACTAACAGCGTTTTCAAAACACCAGCACAGAGGAACCCTGCTGGCTTAGGCATGTGCAAAGACACGCAGCCGAGCTCCGCGTTCCCAGGATCTGTATTCAAAGCAGAACTATACGCTTCAGCAATACAGGAAATATCTTTTTTCCAACAATCTCAACGCTCCTGCAATCTACAAGTCACCGAGGGTTTTGTCCGGTGCGTATAACCCGGGAGCTGGCAAAACCCCTCCTGGGTCTGATTTGAGAAATTTAAGAAGTGAACCCTGCAACAAACCAGCCTCCCAAACTGCACCTTCTGCTCCTACCAAGCCTTGGGATTTTCCATTGTGAAAGTTTCCACCGATCCTCAGTCCAACAACTGGAACAAAAGCAAGAGAGATTTCTAAATAATCAAAAGCGCCAGCGTAAACCCAGCATCCTTTCAATTCAGACAGCTTCCTCCTGTTTATCTGCTTTTACACAGAGACAGTACAATGCTGCAAGCTGTGGAAGAATGCAGTGAAAAGCTGGTAGTTACGGGGGGATTTTCTAGATCTCCCCATTTTTCATGAGTCAGAGAGAACACTTCTCTCTGCAGCTACTTTTACCATGGTCTGTGCTATCCTTCACCTAAATACCATTTATCTCTGCCTGAGAAGGGAGAAGAAACTGCAACAGGAGCATTAATATTTTTCAGACAAAAGTACAATCTCAAAAACGTACGTGGCTCGACACAGCCGAAAGGAATTCCCCCTCCACCCTCCCACCCGCCATCGCTGCTGTCCCTGTAGTCACCTTTTTTTGAAGCCAGCGCTACGCGAGCCCCTGAACGGCTGCCTATGCTGTGCGAGTCAGGACTGAGAGCTTGGCACGGAGCAACGCCACATTAAACTTGCTGCTGAAATATTTATTTTGTCACTCACTTCTCAAACGTTAACAACAAAATATAATTCTGGGGAGCCCACAGGATTCAGAAACAGTCATTCATTTTCCAGCGGTGTTTCTACAGAATACAAAACTCATTTTCTTTTGCTTTCCATGGAGGCTTTTTTTTTTTTTTTAATATCTCGCAAACTGTAAAAGCAAATGAAAGGGATAACATGAGAGGCAAACGCAAGGAGTTACCGCAACGCATCACTCAAAGCCAGATCCTCCAAGTTACTTCAGCACAGAGGAATGTGACTTTATCGAGATCATTCATGAGTATGACAACAGGCACATGCTTAACTATCCCGTGAAGTGAGACTCTGGACGCTCGCTGTTATTTTAGTCTCTTAACAATTTGAAGACAGGAGTCGTCTGGAAAGGACTGAGAATTTCGCCAATCTTCAGGATACAGCTGGGGAAAGTGCTATTTTGTATCTCAACTACTGAAGACCCATTTAATCCATCAGCAACTAAACCAGGGGTGGACGCTATACATCTAGGTCACAGTAAACTAATGCGATACTTAACACGGTGACTTACGGAGGGAAGTGCCAGGAGCCAGCAATTGCTCTTTGAACACCTGAGTGCCGGTGGCCAAAGCGCCAGGAGAGAGGGGAGCTCTCTGGAATGAGGTTTTCTTGTCTCTAATTCAGGCATTTCCCACCCTGATGTGTCGGGGGAAGGACACAGAGCAAGGCCGTGACTGCTGTGTCCGGGGCTCACATGCGAATGAATCGGAGGAGACGAGTGGCTCTCCAAACGCCGAAGTTACACCGGGCCTTGCCAGCTCTTCGCACCGTCTCCCGTTGCCCCACCCGCACCTCTCGAACGCCAAGAATTCGCGGCGGCTCTTGTCACAGGACGTACGCGTAGATGCACATCGCAGCTCCCAACTCAGGCCAACGACAGAACCCTGCCTCAGCGAAACAGCGTGAAAATACTGCTTTCATCATACAGCATCAAGGGGTTATGGACACAAGGCCAAAAAAAAAAAAAAGAAAAAAGATATTTCAGACATCCGCAAGCAAAATATTGAGGAAAACTGCTCCAAAATGTGTCTGCTCTTACGCTCAAGAGTGATTCTTAGGTGAAAGCAATCTGACGAACTGTCTGTGGATAATTTAACCCTGAAGGAAAGCTCTCCGTGTTACTACTGCATTTACAGGGAAATATGGAAGGCAGGCAGCGAAACAATGTAGGAAGCGACAGTGAAAACAAGGTCTTTCCTCCAATACTGGGGGGGAGCGTAACGCAGCAGCAGCAGCCTACACCTCTGCATCAACATCAGGAGGACAGACTCCAAGCTCTTCCAGGGTTTCATCTACTGCACTTTTTTCATTTTTTCATCCAAAAGGCGCTGATCTCTGCTCAGTTGTGTGTAGCAGCTACAAGAAGGGAAGCATAAACACATTCCAGGCACAGAGAATGGCCAAACAGGCAAACTGCCTGCAGACCACGTTGTTACTGCTGCTCTTGGGTCTTCCCCATAAATGCAGGCCCAGAGTCCTCTGCCTGTTATGTGTCTGCAGTAGACGGGGTTATCCAGGCTATTTTTCTCAGTGAGAACTTGAAACAAGTATTAAGAAAGCTGCAAGACTCAAATGGAGCTCACGGTCCCCCCTCGCCTTTTTGTTTTACAGTCCCGTCCAACTCTGCAGAGGAAAGTAGCATCTAGGCTGTTCCCGCAGCTTAACTCATAAGGCTGGCATCGGTGAGACGAAACCTGAGCTCCCAATGAAGCCGATTCCTCATCTGCTTTAGGTGACAGAAACGTGTATATAAAAAACAAACCTAAGGGGCACTTCAAAGACGATTAGACGATTCCATGGAGAAATCCTGAAGCCTTTGGCTATGCTGCAATGCCCTCGGTGGATCTGGACTGCCAACGGCCCCTTTGCCGTTGGGTCCAAGAAAGCCTGAGAATCGATGGAGATCGGTATGATCGACTACTTGGGATTTCAGGAGGTCTTTCCTTGTGGCAGCAGAGAGGAGCCCGCTTCCAAGGGCCTGAAGAGCTTTTCATGGTCTTCAGTACAAGCTGCTTCCCAGCAAGGAAGTCCCTAAAGCATTTACACATTCTGGAGAACTAGTTCTAGGGGATGAATCTCACACCAACTTCTCACTGCTGCTGAACTGGAGAGATGAAAGGATATGGATACATCACAGTGGCCTCTGGTGCAGTTTATTTACAACAGGACTCAGTGCTGGAGAACACCAGGGTATTAACAAGCAGGAAACACACTGGGAGGGAAAAAGGAAAGCGGAAGAAAGGTCACGCGTTAAAACCACGGTATTCTCTGCAGGTATTTGACTCTGCGACACCCTAAATCTAGTTGATTACCCAAGATCAAACAAGGACAAAAGGAGTCTACCATGCAGGTTAAAATCGGCATTGATGCATTCAACAGTAACTTGTAAGCTACGTAATAGTGAGAAGCACAAAAGTTTAATATATTGCTGTCTATGGCTTAAGGACACAATAAGGCCAGCAAGCCACCGCACTTTCTCAAGCCTCTTGTTTTAAAGCTGCTTTTGCTACAACCATGAATAGCAGGAGCAACCGGCTAGCTCCTTCAACACTCACAGAGATAGCACGGGTTGCCAAATACCTGGTGGAGATTCAACATTACAATGCAGTACAGTCCTTCGGGTCTTCTCCCTCTCACCCTTTACACATCAACCTACACTATATCCTTTCACTGGATTTAAAATACGCAGTCCACAGTCCTGCATTTCTACTGTTTCATCCTCAAGGGCTCAGGATAAAGGGGAAAAAAAAGAAGGAGATCATCCAGCAATACCTCTTTAGCATTGCCAGTCCTACAGCATCACGCATTTTGGGGCTTCTAGCTTTTGTTGAAGAATTCTTAGCTAAAAGCAGGAAGCCTTTGCAGGACCGCTTAAGAAACACGCTTATTTTAGGATCACCTTTCAGGTGAATGA